GGTCCCACCTGAGGGAACCAGGTCGGTAAATCAGCTCGGTTGTTTTTGCAGCATTACACGGGGCCCTGTGTCGTAATGCGTCGCCTGCTGAATGTCTTGGAAATACTAAAAGTCTTCTCGCCTCGCCCTCTCTCCATTCTCAGGCTTAATGTTTAGCTTGCTGGCCAATACTGCAATTGCATAATTTGAAATAACTGCACGCAACATCAGGAAACAGGAGTCAGGAAACATTTATTGCCAAAATATGTCACACATACAAGGAATTTGACTTGGCGGTCAGTGCGTGACAGAAGACAGCAGTGCACGAGTAATAAAATAAAATAAAATGCTAATGCTATGGGTTAGTCGAATAAGGCTATGGGTTAGTTTAAAATAAGAGAATAAAGTTAAAAATATCAAAAAAATAAAGTGCACTAGCGAACAGGAAGTGACAAAAGTGATGAGTGAAAAGTGACGTGTGCAGAACGAAAGAAAGTGACATGTGGAATGTCAGTCAGTGGGGTCCGGGCTCTGGTCATCATTGATGATGTTGGCTTGTCAGAGGCACTTGATCCCTCTTCTGTCTATTTCCAAAAGCACTACGGCCTCCAAACAGCATTGTTAGAGACCAGAGTTGCGAGGAAACGAGGAACGCGTGCTTTAACGGCCACATGCAGCTATTGTGAGACAGTCCCTGATGACCGCAGGGACATCCCTCCTTTGAGGTTGCTGTAGATTTGTCCACAGAGCACACTGAAGTGTTGGAAAACAAGGATCACCTCGATCCACCTTGGGTTGAGCTTGGGGACAGTAATCCTCTCAGATGCAAACTCTGGGTCCATTGCCTACAGTGTTAAAGCCTTGTCTAAATGGGCTCTATGTCTTACTCGCTTGCTAGTGGGTTGTTTCATTTGACACCTCAGTTTGACAGTTTTTGGTGCAATATTGTTGTTTTATTCACAGGCTTCCCAAATGTTCCTCTCTTGGAGACCTTTGGGATTTTGCATGTCTTTAAGGCTCTTTAGCTTAGCCGGAAAAACAAACAGAGGCATATCTATTATATGGTAAGTGGATCTCACATTACCCCGCCATGTCAGTGCTGTCGCCAGCGCGGGCCACTTTCCATTTGACTGATATTTGCACAGGGGCCAACATGTCAAGGGATGGTGTAATTGATTGTCTTGGATATTTGAGTATACCACTTTCCCTAGATCAGAGACCCCCTAATGCTTCCGTCTCCAGTTATATGGCTTATCCATGTGGTGAGGTTTTGACACATGACAGTGAAGCAGGATAGACATGTTGGCATTATTGCGGATTAGCACAACGCCGCGTTCTATTTCATGACACACATTTATCATAAGGCCAACACTAAATAAACAATTCCCCTATAAAATAGGAAACGTACATGAAGATGTGTCTGTGCGCTTTCTGACGCCTTTTGGTCACTTTACACACACACACACACACTCTCTTAAGCCTTTGACCTTTTGAGGATGTTATTTTATGTTGAAAGCGGGCCCCTGCTGAAGTTTATCCAAATGAAAACCTCAGGGCTATAGTTGGTTCGCCAATGAGTTTATTGAGTAAAGCTCTTTCTCCACGGAGGAGTTTCGATAGCAGGAAAGAAGTGTTTAAAGGATGACTCCTAATAAGGACTTTTATCGTCTTCACTTCTGTTTTTTTCTTAAATGGCCAGAAGGCAAAAGCTTCTCAAGTGAACGTTTCCTGTTTTCCCTTTTTGATCTTATTACTTAGACAGGAAGAGATTATCAGTATTATTTGATATTATTGAATTTAGTTTCGATATATTTTTCCCATGTTTTTTCCCCTCAGGATTACATCTTAGACCTTAGCATGAAGGATTGTGTTCATCTAATAGCATGTCTGGATTGGACTGCCATCAGTGTGAGCTTGCTTGGTCAGTTACATTTCCTATGAAAGTCCATCACAACAGCTGTTGCCTTCAGAGTTTTAAAAATACACATCCGTCATGGCAGGAAACAACTCAGTTAGGTTTAGGAAAAGGTTTCGTTTTGGCTTGATGTACCTGGACTTGCGTTACTTGTGTACTTTATTGAGTTACAGGAACAAATGAATCCACATTGACTACACGTTTCACACACTGGTGCGAAAAGCAAAATAGTGTTTTACTTATCCACCTTTGGCTTTTTCCCTTTTTTTATTGTACCTGGTTCTTGATTACCACCACTGCAGATTACATTTTTGATGCCTATAGATTTGCCGGGGGAGGGAGGGGGGTTCTCACTCCGAGCAGCCTCCACGACAAGAACTTTTTTCTCTCTCTTTCTTCTGTCATGATATCCTCTTGACACGGTGCCAACAGTGACCATCACTTCCAGTAATCGTCAGGGAGCAGCTGGATGCACGTGCCACGCATGCCCATCCGCTGCTTTAAGGAGCCTGAAGTAGGCTTACCGGAGTAGGAGCTTACGCTTAGCCGACGAGCTGCTCACACAACTTGTCCCTCACATTCAGTCCTTGATCATCAAGTCACACAAACATATTTGTTCACTTAATAAACGTGGAAAACCTCACCCATTAGTTTTTAGAATTTGTCCTGCAGCCGGACAAAAAAACATAATTTGACTTTTTGTTGCCCAAAAATAAATGAGCCATGAGTCTGACTAAACGTGGCTTTCTCAAAAGGAATGTTTAGGCCTTTAATTATGCCACGGCAAAAAGATTGGAGACCGATTTCATGGTAATCTGTTATTCTTAATGCTGAATAGAAGTCTGTAATCATCAATCATGTCTTGAGAGTTCAATGCAGCCCATTGCACTGTCCGTTCTCACGGGCTCACTGTCACCACTCAGCCTGTTGCAGAAGAGTTTTATGGATCCCCCCTCGCGACGGGGTTGCACGGCGACTCACACAGTACAGTAGAAACATGCACAGGTGATTAAAGATTTTTTTGACACCCTCCATGCATGCATAAGCCGCTTTCTCCTGTGCACAAGGCGAGGCCCCGTCTGTATGACCTAGAAGAAGCTAGACTGCATGACCCAGTGGTCAACTTAGGCGCCATCTGGCAACCCGCATCTTGTGTGGCTTACCCTTCCCAATGTCTCACGCAATTCCTTAAGCAAGCATAAGTGTGCTTAGGAGGACTTAATCTTAGAGAAACTGGTTTGGTCCACACTGTGACTGCCAGTGTAGGTGCGCCCGGCTGGAAGGTCACGGGGTTCCTTCGGCTGTATAATGCATGGACGGCTTTTCTTTTCCTCTTTTTGGCCTGTTGTGTGATTCAAATCTCCGGGTTGGATGTGTTCTTTCAATAACTGTACAAAGGTGTTCATTCCCACTGCGTAATGAGTTGTGAGCCATCTGGGAGCGTCGGAGGGATCAGTCGTCCCAACGTACAGAGGATGGAAGGCGTCTGTTGCTCTGCGAGATGCCCCCTGGCCTGTTCTGAGGGGCAAGGAGGGGAAGTGAGCTTGAGCCTGTCTGCACTTGCACAGAGGTCACTGCTGGCCGTTTGACAGTCTGCCCGTGCAGGGGCCAGACTCTTCCAGAAGAGGGCCAGCCAGACAGACAGACAGCCACATCGTCTGCAGTCTGGGTCTAGGTCCCCGTACTAGGGCGGCTCAAGTTACCCAGACAGATTTGTTAACACTATTTGGGTCCGCTCTGCTCTCTAGCCGGGCCTCCGGGCCAACGGCGGTTGAGGTGACTTAATCTGTCATTAAACTCACATTACACCCGGACAGAGACGGGGCTGAGGGGCAGGGACAGCGCTCCCTCTCCCACTCACTGGCATGGCTGGCTGGATTCGAGCAGACACAAAGAATACCCCCCCGCCCTCTCCCTTCTCCGTCTCTGCCGCCTCCTCCTCCTCCTCCTCCCTATCCTCTTCATGCCACACACCATGGCACAGCTAGACAGCGCAGCGCGGTCTAGACAAAAGCAATTTCACTTGAAGTTGAAAAGTAATTTGACAGTGTGACGGGCACCTACGTGAATTTGGGTGCAGTCTATGCAGAGCGTGTTGACCGTCTCCTGTAGCAATACAATGGACATATAATGTTTTAAGTGGATTCATGGAATTAATAACTGACTTATTAAACTAAATAATTAGTATGAGAGAGTCTACTTCATAGTATATGTATAGTCAAGCTCCATATTTAAACAATTAAAGATGACAGCGAAAAAACGACCAAATATAACACACAACATTCATATTTTCTATCCCATTTTGAAGTTATGGATCCTTGGTTCCTGTACTGTGATGGACAATGCATGACTCAGCATCTGTTCATTTTGTAACCTGATCAGTGTGAGAGAAGCATCTTCTAAACCCTGACGGAAAAGAAGCCGTCCTGCTGAAGTGTTGTCTTTGTACTGTCAGACACGAAGGAGCGGCTCCGCTCGCTTCTCATCGGGAAGACCAAATTGCTTCCATTACTCTGAACTTGACAAAAACCCGAACAATGTCGAGTGGAGGTATAAGACATTGTTTCCTTCTGTTGAGATTTGCAGCCACACGTAGCAGCTGGTTCTGGTCCCCCCCACCCCCACCACCTCACACCGGCACCGTCCACTGAAGCCTGGTTATGAACTTTATAACCAACTGTTCCAAACAGTAGAGCCAAAGCCAACAAGCATATTTTCACATACTTCCCAGAGAGAAAATGTTCACTTAATTTCATATTGTTTTATTATATTCTAAATTACATTTTGTTCCGGATGCAAAGCTGTGTTTGGGTGCTCTAACTGCTTTGTGTAGTAAAGGGGGATGGTGAGAAGAAGACACCCATGGAAAACAGGAATGATACAAAGCTCTCCTGCTGTTATCCTTTTTCATGTTCTCGGCCTTCAATGCAGTCAAACCAGGGCCCTTTTTAACACGAGTAAAAGTGTAAATCCTCCTGCCGGCTTGTTTTTGGCTGAGCCATGGACGGAACACACACAGGGCTTCAGGCTTCAGGCTGCTCGTGGATCTTAATTCAAGCTTTTCTAATGTGTAGACTCACCACACGGTCCGTGTTTCTGCCCGCAGGTCAAGAAGTACTTTGAGCTGGAGCCGCTGGCCAGGGGCAAGCGCTGGATCCTGGAGGGGAGCACCAGCGACCACCTGGAGGCCGTGAAGGAGAGCTTCGCTCAGTTCATCGGCCTGCTGGAGGACAAAGACTCGGAGCCCGCCCGGATATGAGGCTGCCCCCGCAAACGCTCAGAGACGATAGCGGCCAGCGGCGAAGGAACATCCCGCCGGGGCCGCGCACACTCCCGCTTTCATACACAAACCTGCGCGCACGGGCGACGGCGGATGTCGGCCTCACTCCCTGAGAAGCGTGTATCCTGTCACCCTCCCTTCACTGAGCTCCCATCTTGGTTCAAATCTGAAGAGTGTGTGTGTGTGTGTGCGTCCGTGTGCGTGTGCGTGTGCGTGCACACAAACCCACGTCCACCGTTGCAATCCGGCAGAGGGGAGGTGTCTTTGAAGCCGATGTATTGCAGTTTTGTCAGAAATACAAAATGGCCTCTGCGTGACGAAACCAAGGGCATGTGGGACTCACACACACACACACACACACACACACACACACACACAGAGAGCAGAGCCCAGGTTGTGTGTAGATGTTTAACCTCTCCAGTGATTACTTTACAGGGTGTTTGGGTGACGTTGAGGCGGTGTTATGTACGGTAGCTACATATCCGTGTGAATATCTAATCTGAATAGAGTAGTCTGAGTATCTCATGGAGTATTATGGAGCCATACACAAGTACTACTAATCATGTGACGGAGTGCTAGTGGACTTCATTTAGACGGGGCAGAAACAAGTCTGAATGCTTTTTATAAATGTGCAACTTAGAATATATTTTACAGCTGTGTATGTTAACCACGTAGAGCTCCATTCCGATTTTTTATATCTCATACCACCCTTATGACTTCTTTCAAATCAAAGACCAAAAGAGACAAACATAACCACCACACCCACGGAAGTAGCCTCAAGATAGAGAAATGTAATCGCCTCCTTTCACTGTTCAGCAAAATGTCATGTTTGCCTTTCTACAATTTTTCTGTAACGCTTTTTCTTTACCGACATAATTCCTCTCGGCGGTGGCGCGCGCCTCCCGTCTCCCATCGGGGTGGAGTACAAACTATCAATCAGCCACAGCAACAGCTGCATCTGCCAAGTCCCTGTCCGACACCCTAATGCCTTCCAACTGTCCACGGAGACCCCCCCCCCCCCGGGCCCCCGCTGGGTTCTTGGGGGGGTTCCTCCCTCCCGGATGCCATCGTTCTGAAATGAGCTTGTCGTTGTGCCACAAGTGTGCTTCAGTAGATGGGCGCCTCCTCGCTTGCTTGTGTCCCCGCTGTCGCTTTGTTCCGTGGTCGGGTTTTTAGAACAATTTCATCTGTTTTTGTACCTGACACGAGGTAGTTTTCTTCTTCTTAACAACCTGTATGGACCAGTGCATTTGATCGCTCCAATGCAGAATAAATAATTGGACTTTGCATATCATCTACCCACAAAGGTTTTTCAACATATCACAGCAGTCTTTGTTTGTTTTTGTATTTAGTTTTTTTCAATCATCAGTGTTGTCAAAAATTGTAATTAAAGTTTTAAAAGTGGAATTGTTGTCCTAATTGTTATTAACATGTACGTAACGTGCGAAACGTAGTATGAATATACGATATAGCCGTAATGTTTCCACTTTGAATGTGTTGGCTTATGATGGGAGCATGATTGACAGTTTCTCATGTTTATGTATACTCCTTGCATTTTATAAAAATAGATACGGTCAGCTTGTGAAACACCCGCATTACTTCGTAGAGCAGTCCTGGTTGTTCGGTGTGTTTTAAGCAGATGTTCCGTACAATTTAACGTTCATACACGTGTTGGCAGGAAATGTGTGACGGGCTGAATGTCGGCTTGCTTTTTCTTCACAATGTCCCTGCTTTGTGATTTAAGGTGACCTATGGAAACCTGAGACCCTGGAAGATAACCGGGCTAAACGCAGATGAGCCAGATGAGGTCGAGTGAAAGTAACCACAGAAGGAAAAAAAAGCACTCAAATTCGAAGTGCAGACGCTTGAAGTGGAAAGTTAACCGAGTGAGACAGGAGCTCCTAATAAATAGACTCTACTCCGCGCTACCTCTACCTCCCCTTTTCTTCTCCCTTTGCTCTCTCTCTTTCAAATGTACCGTGTGGCTTTAATACATTGTGTGTCCGGCAGGTTGCCGTGGCGACTCTTTGATCCCGTTTTCCAGTCTCTGCCTCTGGGGCAGACGTGCTTCTCTTCAGTCTGCTGCACACCGGCTCTGGAAGCTGCTGCAGCCCCGAGATGAGCCATGGGCCGCTGCGCCCGTCTCGCCGCATCCCCCCCCGCCCCCACCCGCACACACCCCGCCCCATTTTCTCTTCCTGTCGTTCTTACTTTCCCCCTGTTTTTTCAAATCCTCTTCATCTTTCTTTTTTGTTTTCATTCAGGTTCTCTCCATCCCTCAGTCTCTCTTACTTGCTCTGCTTCCCTTTGGTCACGCCGAAGCACCGGCATCCAGGATGCCCGGGTGGGTGGAGGGGGGGGCGAAGAGGCCAGGACCTCAGCGAAGCAGCCTTCCTGGGAGGAAAAAAGCGAGGGAAAGGGGACTTGTGTCTCCCTTCCACCCCTCCTCACTCTCACGTTCTGTCTGCACAGATTTGAGCACTGGACGTCCCAGTGGAACTGAGGTTTGTTTCCTCTGGTCCTTGTTGTACTGACACACAAAGTCACACTGTTGTTTCAGACTATCTGCGTCAACAAACAGGAACGGAGACACAATGTTCACTGTGATGGATACAGTGTCTCAAGAAACGTTCAAGTCCATGCAGGTTTCTCTTTGATAAATAATGAATGGTGATTAACGGCTGCCTGGAAGGGAAGGAAATCACTCTGAGAAACCGACTGGCAAGCTTAATTGTTGGCAGTAATACAGTGATGGTGTGGTTTGTAAAGAGTAAAGTGCAAGGTTGCCAGAGGGGAAGATTCTGCATGGAAAGCCACACAAAAGGGAGTTAACGCACCACAAAATAATCTCCAATGTGCAGGTTGTCTCGTAGGTTTTGACTCTGTGCCGTGGAGAGCGCTGCATTCACCTCATTACTTCTCCTCACTGCACAGCCCGCCTACAGACACACACATTACAGTCGCTGACATCACAAGGAAGTTGGTGTGGATCACCGGCCGCAGAGTGAATGAAGCCATTTGGGGGGTTTTAACAAAATATTGTTCTTACACTTCTGCTTTGTTTTATCTCTTAGAGCACAAAGTCAGCGTGACTCCTTAAACCGTAAAGTAGCTGCCTGAGGTTTACGCGGCTGTCCCAATAATCACAAATGATGTTTATTTTTATGTATAACTGTTTGTTAATCTATGCCCAGATTAAAACTGTTCACACGGTAGTACAATTTCACAAATGCATAAACCGTACCAAATTCAATATGTTATAGGAAAGATTTAAGGGCACATTTCTAAAGTAGTAGAGGATTCAAACAGCCTGCAGTTTTACTTGAACAAACATTAAATGAGTGAAATTGCACGTGCAAGAATTCTAAAAAAATAAGAATGTGGCAAAAGGTTTAATCCAACCTCGTAAGAACACAGAGTTTATGTGCAGCTTATGTGATTCATTGGAAATTTGGGGAGCACACTGAAAAAAAGAATAAAGAGCTAAGAGGAGCGGTCACATGCCACAGAATCAAACCTGCGACCTGACGGGGAACCTAACCTTTGTTTACAAGACAAGCAGAATGCATGTTTTCTTAAACCCTGCAAAGAATGTCTCTCTCTCTCTCTCTCTCTCTCTCTCTTTCTGCTGATAAGACCCTGCCAGGAGGAGGTGGAACAGATGTTGGCCCCAACATCCATCTGGGCCGTACCCCTGCTTTGCCTCCCACGGCTGACGCTCCACGCAGGACCCCCTCTCAGCAGGGGGGCTTCAGCGGTGACACAGCACAGACATCGCGTCCCGACGGTGCTTTCGTTCACGGTGCATGTGTGCGTGTCCGTTATCACTGGACTTCTGGCTTCAACAGAGGTGTTTCCTTCTCCATTCGTAACACTCCTCTTCATGACTCTGGGGCACGCACACACACACACACACACACACACACACACACACACACACACACAGACGCACACGCACACACACACACACACACACTCTGGAGACAAAAAACACAAGCCGCGGATATCCTTGGATGGGATGTAAGCCAGTGAGGAAATGTTTCCTGGTCCAAATAATCATTTCCAGATTTGTGAGATAATTATTTCCAAAGAGTCTCTACTTGACGTGCAGCTCTTTGACGTTGTTATTTATTACGAAGGTGTGAGAGCCAAGTTGTGCACTCAGTGTTGTGTGTCAAGCGTTTGTGTGTCAATTTTAGCAGCTGTGAATAAATAGCTGCATTTTTAGTGGCCAAAGCATATTTGTGCATTGGAGGCCAACAAGCAAAGTAAAGACGAATATGAAGATTCATGGATAATATAATATATTAAAAGCACAAACTCAGAGGAGCTCATGTGCTGCTGAGGTCGGCAGAACCAATCGAATGAAGCTCTCGTGTGCCCGATAAAGATGTTCCAGAACACAGCGGCTACTTTGTAGTTTTGTGCTTTCAGATTCCTCAGAGCTGACGTCCGCGGCGCTGAGCGCCGTGCGTGATATCTGCAGGTCTGTGGTCGAGCTGTCTGTCTAACCAGCAGCTCAAACCCAACAGAACCGTAGCGAGTTCCACCCCGGACCAGCAGCAACGCGCACGTTCATTCAGGCATTATCGCTGCTCATTAATATTCAGATGGGCTTTATTTTCATGTGAGCCTTTCTTGTTGAGAGTTTTTTTTTTATTTTGTTTTTTATAAATGTCAGAGACAGACCTTTTCAGTTTCGTTACATCAATATTAATATATGAGTATATATCTGTAAATATATTGGACAGCTGTCAGTGTTTTTTTCTTTCAATTGTTCCAATTTGGACGAGAGGCCTTATTCAATTCCATTTATGTTGTGTCACAAATTGGTTTCACAGGGCTTTACAATGTGATCCCATCCTCTGGCCCCCACGGGAACAACTCTGTCACTGAGGTCCTCCTTCATCTTCATCACTCATCGTGAGAGGTTTCTCATCAAAGAACATTACATGTCATTTAGCTGCTGCTTTTATCCAAAGCGACAATAAGTGCATTCAACCATAGGATACAAACTCAGAAGAAACAAGAAAGTGCAATTTCCTCAAATAAGCCAATTTACAATTTGCTATAGATGAGTGGCGTTACAAGTACAATTTAAGTGCTACAATTTGTTAGTCTTTTATTAGACTTTTATTAGAACACACCAACCGTCGCTATGTCACCATGAGTCTCTTTCTGGAACAGGCCCATATCGGTGACTATCGTATGTAAATCTGCCTTAGCAAACTTTACTCGAGTCAAATCTCCAAACCCCAGCAGCTCACCCTGCTTGACAGGAAGTCCTTTTGTGTGCAGCAGAACTTCTTTTCCAGCTCTGAAAACGTGAAAACTATGAATTTAACAATAGAGCATATTTTGTCCACATGAAATTGATTAGCGATGTAAGAACGAAATGCTGGACTTGGATTGATTTATTTTGATCCCAGATTTCAACATTGCTGGAGGAAGTATTCTGAGCCCAAGTAAAAGTCATCTTAAGTTACAACAAAATTCAAGGTTTGCACAGGTCACCTTAAATCACAAAATGCTTCCAGGAAACGAATGCAAACTTTCAGCTCTGAGCTTTCAGGTCTAAATCGCTCATTCAAACTACTTAATAATCTATCGGGAAGGTTTCCCGCGCGTGTTCGCCGATTAAAGGACTTAAACTTTTGTCCTCAAAGTTGTGGAAACCACGCTGTGCAATTCTACTCGGGGGCCTTTGTGGCCACCTAAACGCCTCTTGTTTTTCCCGGGTGTTTGAATGCCTCGTCTGTTTGGTGACTTCCGTGGGATTCCAGCGGGCTTGTCACTCAGGACTTGTTTGTCCTGGGGACGAGATCTGTGTGAGTCCTGTTTGTCTTCCCCTCTGCTCGGCCCCTGAGTGCTGATGGAGACCCCGCATCCCAGGTGGCCCGCACATCAAAACAAGAGGATCGCGGCTCTTGGTTTTCAGACAAACATCACTCACTTTCTTTGTTGTCTGAGGGACAGGGGGGCACGGCGGTTTATCTCCAGAGGATCTCCCCCCGCTATCGCCTTCCAGCGGCCCAGCGCCCCATCCCACAGGAGCCGCTAAAAGCAAATGTCAGTCAAGGAGAAGCTGCATTCCTTTAGGAGGTCAGTTAGTAGTGGCTACTGAGACCATCGGTTGCATTTTTGAGAATTTACAGGATTTCCAGGTCGATAACTGCCCTCTATACCAAGGCACCTCCACGCATGTGTCCCTGTCCTCCCATCATGGCGGCCCCCCACAGACCCGATCAGTTATCGGACGCTTCACAAAGCACCGTCTATGAAACCTCTTGCTCCCTTGGGCCATGTGATGGGCGTCCAGCTCCGGCCAGTCGTCCCCTGCAGGCCTGTGAGGAGCGTGAGGTCCGGGGACCTTTATGAGCTCAACCCCGACGCGCTCGTCTGGACTC